TCCTCCATTCCAGCTTTGTCCGTTCCTGAGTTTTCTCTTCTTCTTTATAGCCTTGACTCTTTGTCCTGCGAAGGAGGAAGGAGAACGTAATAGGAAGGTAAGAGTGGAGGGAAAGTTCTCTTGCCCTTTGAAGTGCAATGGTATGATACAGTGCTGAAGGGGCAGCTGCTACGAAAGCGCTTTCGACGCCCTCGATCTGCCTTGTGGGGCATCTCTTCTTCGTTGACCACGGAAAACACCCAGGTGGGAGATTTCAGCCTTTCTTTCGGCGCTCCATCGTTTCCTTTTTTTGTCACCTAACAAGGAATGCAAAGAGTAGCAGGAAGGGGCGGGGGTGAAAGGATGATGTTCCCTCAGTCTTCCCAAAGCATTCAAAAACAGTTAGCGAGAAGAAGAGAGGAGCAGAAAAGAGAGGAATGTTACGGCTTGAGTCCTTGCTGTTTATGTACCACATCTTTCTTGCTTTCTTTCTCTCTCAATTGACAATTATGCAAGATACGCGCCGCACGCGGAAAGGAGTGGAGAAGGGGGAATCCTTTCTTTCGCTTAAGAAGGAGGAAGGAGAACGAAAAAGAGGAAATGGTATGACACGATGCTGAAGGGGCTGCTGGGAGAGGTGCACGCTCGACAGCCTCGATCTGCCTAGCTGCTCGTGACACGGAAAACATCCGAGCAAAGACCTTTCTGACACGCGTAGATTCGGCGTAGTGAAGCGGAGAGGCGGAGGAAACAGGCGGGAGATGACAGCGATTCGCCGATTCCTTTGTCATCACCCAAAGAGAATGCAGAGAATACTGGGAAGGATGTCCCACCCAGTCTTCCCAAAGACTCCGGGAAGGCGCAAAGTGGCTTGAGTTCTTGTTGTTTTGGTGCCGCGTTTCTTAATCTCCTCACAGAAGAATCTACAAAACATTGGTAAAGAAGTGGAGAAGTGGGAAATTTGTCCAGGAGTTTTCATGTAGAGAAGGGAATCAGAAGCTATCAATGAGAAAGAAATCCGACACATCAGATGGTAAGAACAAGGAACAGGAGAAGTCCTGCTTTCTAGCTTTTCCTTTCTCTTAGTCTCGTGAACGGAGGAAGGAGAAAGAAAGAAGAAGCAAACAGAGGTCAGCAAACAGTGGAGCGAGAGGGAGCACCGTCGATCTGCTAAGTGGCTTCTCTTCTTTGTGAGATGCGAGAAATACCTGGGCCAAAACCTTTCTCATATGAGTAGATTACACAAACAGGCAAACAGGAGAGGACTCGATGACCTCTTTCTCTTTGTGCTCCATCCTTTCCTTTCTTATCACCCAACGAGAACGCAGCGAGTAACACGAGATGGCGGGTGAGAGGATGTTGAGACAGCAAAACAAGAGTAGAAAAAAGATGCAGGGAAGGAAGACAAGAACTTTTCTTCTTCCATGACGAGGCGGCCCAAAACGTGAGATTGGGTCTCCGTTCCTCTTCCGTCGCTTTCACTCCTCCCCTTCCACCATCGTCTGGCAAGAAGCAAGAAGAAAGAACAAAGAACACAAAAGCGGAACAAGTCTGTCGAAGGGAAGAGAAGAGAAGAGACGAGAAGAGAAGAGAAGAGACGAGAAGCGAAGCGAAACGAAGAGACGAGAAGAGACGAGAAGAGACGAGAAGAGACGAGAAGAGAAGAGAATCAGAAGTCCTGCTTTCTAGCTTTCCTGTCCCTTCCCGATTTTTTTAATCTTCTCTACCTTTCCTCTTTGTCTCTAGAAGAATGGAAAAGGAGGGACAAAGGTTGAGCGATTGTCCCCTTTGCTGGTGGTTTTGCAATGGTATGGTCATGGACCATGGAGGGGCAGCTGCTTGGAGACTAAAAGATGTGCAGGCGCGACGCCCTCGATCTGCGTGGTGGCTTCTCTTCCTTGCGGGATACGAATTTCACACCCCGGCGAAGTTCTTCCTGATAGGAGTAGATGAAAAAGAAGGAATAAAACGGTTAGTGATGACCCAGGTGGGAGACGACCAACTCTCGTCCAATTAGTCGGTGGAAGACGAAAGATGTGTGATGGCTTCGTGCAAGGCCCCGTCCAAAAAGGGCTCCCAAAACGGAACTTAAGCAAATTCATCTAAAATTTCCCGGGTCAGTTTTTATATGGCGTCTATATTTGACAGCCTATCATTCGGAATTTGCAAGCTATTTGTCTAAACAAGGCGGCGCTGCAGAAAGATCCGCCTCCAACAACCTGCAAAAGAAGCGAATCCCCGGGAAGTGGTTCAGTTTCGTGGGGGCGGAGTATTCAACATGATTAAGCTCCCGACCGAGTTGAGTTGGAATGCAACTAGAATCCAAATACAGTCATCGTTACAGCTGAACAGAATACTGAAGACAGCAAATAGGATCCGTTGAGACTCCAAGATGGTTTTTGACCTAGGTAAGTTTGCCGATTACATTCCCCAACAATTTTCCACTGTGTTGTAGAAACAGTTCTGGTATACAACAGAACAGTACAAGATGCACATACATTCTTGCACGCATAGTTTATATCCTAGATGTGAAAAATCACGATGAAGACGTGTAAGGAAACACAATAAAAACCCAATAGTTGTATCCTTCATTCAGTGACTATCAGCAACGTGTTCTTTACTTCACATTCGGTGGCGTACAAAAGATGCCAGAATGCCTGTTGTAGGTACTGGGGAGAATTAGTTAGAATATACTATTCCTCAACAGCGAGTGTACTTCATTTGCCCGAAGTGCAGCCCACGCACAGAGAAGAAAAACAAAATGAAAAATGTCGCTGCAAAAATCTATTTCATTGTAATTTTATTAATAATTCGCTCTCTTCATACACTATTATTATACTATTAATACGTCACGGGGGCTAAGAATTAAAGAGAGAGAGAGAGAAAAGCCCCCGGAATACAACATTATTACAACCGCGCCCATAAAATATTCTTGTAGGCGCGATAATATTCTTATTCACACGTTCATACATTTCATGCTGCATTCATGCTTTCACTTCGCTACATAATCATGCAGCAGTACACTGCGTTCTCTCCCAAAGACTTATATTAATACAAGCGAAGCAAGTGAGCGAGCGAGCGAAACAAGCGACGCCCAAAATTTCCTGTCTCACTGCGTTCATTTCGTTTACTTGTTCACTTTGTTCACGCATACACTCTCAAGCCCTTTTAATATTATACATACGGCCCGTTAATATTCTTCATGCGCTACCTTATATAGTTAGGGCCGTTATCATAATATTAATAGGGCGAAGAGAGCACACCTTCAAGACCCAGCGAATGAGGGAGATGAAAAGGGCCCCTTTAAAGGACTTATTATTTGGCCCTTTTCACCCTCATTCTCCCATCCTGACTGTTACCTTCACGACTCAACAGACTAACTCCTAGAGACAGAGGTTCCAAGGTCGCAAAGAGGGATTCATTACTAAGAGCCAGATGTTGAAGTCTCAATATTTAGACAGGTGGTTGTGCTTGGACTTTGAGGAAGCCTTACCGATGATTGGTGGTTTTAATGAGTGCACCTGTCATGCAAACCTCCTATCTTGGTTGGCTTACAAGGAGCGGCTGTACGGTCATGAGGTTCATAGTGCTCTCTCTCTCTCTCATAGAATTACCAAGAAGTGAAGAGAATAATTTTAATGCGACTTTATAATGTAGTTTACGAAAGCATGAAAGCGCATTAACAGTATGAATGAAACGAGAATTCCCGGGCGTTTTTTGTTCTCTTTTGCCCGGGGGAATTACAATATAATATTCTTTTCATCCGCGAGCTCACGATAATAATAATATGCTCGCGGGATAATAATATAATAATACAGTGTAGAGAGCATATTAATTGTATTATAAGCGTGAACAAGATGAACGGCGTATGAATACAATTAAGATGTGAACGAAACGAACGAATTATGCGTGCGTGTGCTACATTTCTTTGTTATTCTCTTCATGCACACACCCTATAATACTATTACAGTGTACAAAAAGCTGTTAAAGTACTAAATTACAAGTTTACGCGTGAATTTAGTACATTTGATGTGGGCGTTATGCACGGGCTAGTAAATCTAATAATAAAAAATCGCGCGTTCTTTCACGCCTTGCATTTTTATTTATTAAATTAGCCCGTTAATAATATTCGATTGTATGTGCTGCAAAAGACCCACTAAAACTACTGTAGGTCTTTCAGCGAGCACCAGGACACAGCTCATGATTGAGGATTTTTCCAGTAGAAATCTCTTGTTTACTTCGTTCAATCGCTAATTTAATTCACGCACTACGTTCTTTGCATCGTTTGTAATTGAAACGCTCTATCACTTCGTAGTAATATTATAAGTGAGTGAAACGAACACCCTTTATAATACTATGTGCGTATACGCGTGAACTATATTGCAAGTATGCGCAAATAATATTAAAAAGGGCCCATTCACTTCGTCTTCTCATGCTCGTAATTTAATTATGAAATCGTGCGTCGCTTCACTCCTTACTATTTCTACGAGCCCCTACGAAATAGGAATGCTTTTAATGTTCATGAGACAGTGGACATCTTCCAGATGAACGACGTCGACTGTGCGGGACTGTCCCAATAGCTGTCCTTCATTTGCGCAAGGCGTCGCGATCGTGGGAGGGCGCATGTGCGCTCTTTTTCCTCCCACGATATCTCATGCTTGTACCACAATTAGTTAGAGACACCAAATAGCCCAAAATCAATTGTCTGGGACTCTTTCATCAGAGGGCCTAATTTGGAAGCGCCAGAAATTGTTGTTGTTTTTTGTGTTTTTTTGGGTTTTCCGGTTTGTACAATTCCCGGGTTTTTTGTCATTTAAGCTCTGGAGAATCCCAGAATTTTCGTTATTTTTAAAGGTTTGTTGAAAAGAAGAAGCGCAGCGGGAGGAAGAACAGCAGGAAAGTGCCCTCCCAAGGTCTCCCGTTTTGTCTACATATATATATATAGCATATATATATATATATATGTGGCTTCGGAGGGCATGAACACGAGTTCTCGTCTTTCGACTTGGGAGCTTTGCGAGGCACAGTGCCAAAATGCGCAGCTGGGACTGGGCACGGCGCGCCGAGGGCAATCTTTGCAATCCTCAACTTATATCTTTTCGGTTAGCACATCGAGATGGCTCCTTGTAGCTTAGCCTTCATCCTCGGCGCAGGTGGTAGAGTTCGACATCGAACGAGACCATCACCGGAAAGGAGCAAAGAATCGCTTGGTGGCAAGGAGCCGATTGAAATGAATGATGTGTCAATGAACATCAATGAAGCTTATTGATTGGTCGAGAACAGATGCCTGCATTTACATATATACATATATACATATATACATATATACATATATACATATATACATATATACATATATACATACATACATATATACATATATACATATATACACATATACATATATGCATATATACATATATACATATATACATATATACATATATACATATATACATATATACATATATACATATATACATATATACATATATACATATATACATATATACATATATACATATTACATATATACAATATTACATAATCTATATACAGATATACATATATACATATATACATATATACATATATACATATATACATATATACATATATACATATATACATATATACATATATACATATATACATATATACATATATACATATATACATATATACATATATACATATATACATATGTACACATATACATATATACATATATACATATATACATATATACATATATACATATATACATATATACATATATACATATGTACATATATACATATATACATATATACATATATGCATATCTGCGATAGCAGGAATGTCGCAGTCCTCGGTCCCGGCGAGGCTGCTTGTTCTGCAGCTGAGAGATATGGATGGTCATTTCCAGCACTTGGTCAGCGAACTTGGAATAAGAATGCATCGACCGCAACCGTTGTTGAGGCTCCTCCCGCTTCTCCAGCACAAGCGTGCTGGCCTTGTCATAAGTTTGTGGCTGCATGCCTGTGCTGGACTATACCCTTGCTGTCGGGACTTAGTATCAGTGCAGGCCCGCACCGCCGATCCCGGGGCAGGTCCCCTTCCGGGCTAAATCCATTTCGTGCCTCAATGTCCTCGCATCCTCATCTTTGTTCTAACAAAGCTGCCGCCAGTCAACCGCCACGGATCCGGCGGCGCCATATGGCGTTCCGCCACCACATTCTTCGCCAGCTGCGACCCAGATGCAGAAAGATGCATACCTTTTGTCCTAAGAAAAGCTCACCTTGTTGGCAGTTTTCAGACTTTGTGGCTAAGCTTGCGCAGAATGTTGACGAATGTTGCATAATGTTGTGATGTTTCAGTGCAAAACATGTTTGTGTGCGCTCCTGCATTTCTGTGCGGTCAATTTTCTCTGCATCGCTGCCTCCTTCCTTTGTCGTTTGAATCTGGCAGATCTGCGGCCACCCAAGGGAAAGGAAAGGAAACTCGGGCTCCCAAGCTGTGCAGATCTGTGCAGTGAGCAAGCCAAAGAGGAAGCCGAAAAAGGGAGTTTCTCGAACTTGCCACAAGCAAGAGGGGGTTTGTGCACTTCGAGCGACATTGACCTTTGCAGGGCTGTAAGACCGCTCGTGCGGTGCCCTCAGGTGCCCTCAAGTGCCCTCAGGTGCCCTCAAGTGCCCTCAGGTGCCCTCAGGTGCTTCCTCAAACCTCCTCTTGAGACAGATCTTAGAATGGTCCTGCAAGTGTCCTGCTCTTTCGAGGCACCAGCACCGGCGCCCATGTACTACCAGGCTGCTGGCGCAGCGTGATCAAAGACAGCAGAACCCGTGGTCAACGTTGAGCTCTAGAAACAGTACCGTGTAGATCCGTGTAGCACACAAAAGACACAAAACCTAAACCGTGGGCGCCTTGTGCCTGTGATCTTTGGCGCAGGCACCTCCACCTCCGGTTCCTTTGCCAGATCCGAGTGGATATGGCTTGAGCCTCGAGCCTCATTCCCGAGTGCCGCCAGCAGCTTTTTAGCATCTGCAGGGCCGCCGTATCCGTATCCCCCTCCGTATCCATATTCGTTTGCGCCTCAGTCCTTCAAATCAACAGGGGTGTCAAGTTGACATTTGTGTATCTGCGTGCAGGTTTTTGTAGACCGTGTTTGAGGCCTTCCCTCCCACCGTACCAGCTGCCCTATGCGCAGCCTCCATACGGACCTCACTATCCTTATGGACCCGCAGCACGAATTGGCTTTAGTGAGCACGTTCTAGGGAATGTGTTTGCAGGACAGCCACCTCCGTATGGGCAGCCATTGTCATCATATCCGTACCCGTGCTAGCCTCAACGCTATGCGAGTGCAGCTAAGTCATCTATGTTATGCCCTGCTGACTTCCCTGGCATGGCAACCAGGCATACGCCACATCCCAGCACACCGACACAGCCAAACCCAGTTTCAGACCCAGATCTGTCCGTCCATGTGCATGTGCAGGGTGTCATGGTTTCGCTGGCTGAGGTCTCGGCAACACAGCCCGCTGCCACACAGCCTGCTGCTACACAGCCTGCTGCCACACAGCCTGCTCCCACACAGCCTGCTGCCACACAGCCCAGCACACAGTCTGCCACGCAGTCTGCCAACGTGCAGCCTTCCACCATGCAGCTTGCTGCCACCGAGCCTGCTGCACCACAACCAAGCGCGCACTCTGCTGCCGCAAAGCCTGCTGCCATGCCACCTGGTACCGTGCAGCCCTCTACCATTCAACCTGCTTCACAACCTGACGAGCAGCTTGATGTGATGCGGCCGGGGCAGGCCTGGTTCCCTCTAACTGCTGAATGGCTTTGGCTAAGACAAGGTAGCACGTGGGCTGGTGTGCCCTGCATTTTTTGGCTTGCATTGGGGTGTACTCAAGTTCAGAAGTGCAAAAAACCTAGGTTTTGGAGCAATTCCGGTTTTGAGAACCAGGAAGACACAGCACAGATTGCTCGAAGGGCGGGCGCTTTTGGGTGCTTCTGGGTGCTTTGCCTAGGCGGGAGCCTTGTTTTGCAATGCAGGACAACAGAAGGCTTGTCTGGACGATTATATCTGTTTTTTTAAAGGTTATCTGTTGGGGCTTGCATGTGTCGGGCCCCAAACCTCAAACCTGCTACGGGAACAGGAACAGCTTCTCTCACACCACCCTAAACCCTGGAATCCAAGGTTTCAGGTCTTCTGAAACCAAACCAACCAACGTAACCAACCCCCTCCCCACCCCACCTCGACAAGTACGAGCAACAGTCAGGGTTAGGACCCATGCAAGGCCACTAACTGCCAAAGCATCCAGCTTCAGTCTATAACATAACCAAAAAAACTTCTCACCTGTTGTCATGACTCAATTCACTTGCTCTTTTGGTCTTCAACCATGGTACCTTCTAGCAGTTACTAGGCTTGTCTTAGGTTGCACGCAGTCTCGTGCGCTTGCGTTTCGGGGGGGCGGGGAGGGGGGAGGGGGGGGGTTGGGAACGTCCATTCTTGGTAGCATCCATGTTGGGTAGTATCCATCTTGCGAACTGCCGACCGAAGGGTTTCGGGTCAGCGTTCTTAGTCACGAAGTTACAGACGTCTTCGACTCACCACCCACTTGTATGTCAAGCGCAGTTCCCAAGTAGGTTGGAGCCTAGACTCTTGACTCACCACCCACTTGTACGAAGTTAAACACGTCTTCGACTCACCACCCATTTGTATTTCAAGCACAGTTCCCAAGTAGGTGGTCCACGGCACGTATCTGGCCGTGTGGAATTGCGCAATCTTCCTGCTTGACGTTGTTCAACCCTGTAGAGTGATTGTCAAGTCGGAAAAGTTGCTCATGAGTCAAGGCCCCTGAGTCGAAAACCAGATGGACCTGAGTCGAGAACAGGGCAGACCCCAGAGTGGAAAACGTGATGAACCTCCGACAGAAAACGCCCCCCCCCAGAAACGTGAGTCGAAAACACCTGAACCTCTGCCAGAAAACCCGAAGCCTAGTCCTCTCCCATGCTGTTCGAGGGTTCAGGGATTTTCAGGGGTTTTAGGAGTTTTCAGGCTCCCATGCGGTTCGAGGGTTTAGGGAATTTTGGGGTTTTAGTAGGGTTTTTTTTGGTTGAGGGTTTTGGGTTTTTTAGGGTTTAGGGTTCAGAGTTTAGGGTTTTGGTGGGCTTTTTAGGGTGTTAGGGTTGAAGTTTTGTTAGAGTTTAGGTTTTTTTTAGGGTTTTGGTTTTTTTTCGATTAGGGCTCCCGGGGTTTTTGGGGTTAGGGTTTCGCGTTTTTGGGGTTTTGGGGTTTCGGGCATTCTAGGGTCTAGGGTTGTAGGGTGTAGGGTCTAGGGGTTTTTGGGGTTTAGGATTTCGGGTCTTTTAGGGTTTAGGGTTTAGGCTTTGCTTAGAGTTTATGGGTTTTAGGGTCTAGGGATTTTTCGGTTTAGGGCTCCGGGGGTTTTGGGCTTTAGGGTTTTTATAGGGTTAAGGGTTTAAGGGCTTTTTGGGTTTAGGGTTTCGGGGTTTTTAGGATTTGGGGTTGGGTTTTAGGCTTGAGGGTTTCGGGCATTTTAGGGTTTACGGCTTCGGGGGTTTTTAGGTGTGGGTACCTATCTGGAAAAGATCGGGGTCTATCGCGACTTGAAAAGCGGGGGGGGGGGGGGGCGGCCCCCCTCCCATTTGCAAACACAACACACGCATTATGGATTCGAAAAAAGAAGAACTCGGGAGATTGGGGAGGGCGAACCCCCCCCATTTGCAAACATAATGCTCGCATGGCAGCCCCCCCTCCCATTTGCAAACACAAGACTCGCAGGATGGGTTCGAAAAGTAAAGCGGGGCGGGGGGGGGGGCCAGCCCCCCCCCCCCCGTTTGCAAACACAATGCTCGCACGATGGGTTAAAAAAATGCCTGAGGCCAGCTTGCAAGGCTCAACAAGCCGGGGGCTTGGGAGGGGGCACTCCCCCCATTTGCAAATACAAAGCTCGGATGATGGGTTCGACAAAGACTCACGTGTGCTTTTGTGGCACATCCTTTCTCGTGGTTGTGCCAAATGTTTCCTGTTATGGCTCGGGTTAGCCGGTGCAAGAGAGAAGGGCGCGCCTGCTATCTAAATGTGCCGTCGGCACTACGGCAGCAGAGTGCCATTTACCCGAACAACATGCAACATCAAAAATGCCCGTTTCGGGAAGATAATGGCAAGAAAAGTGGGAGGCCAACTCGACACCTGCCTCAGCTGGCCCCGAGGCGGGCTGCGCAGTCGTTGATTGCACCATGTGGTAAGCAAGGTGCGGTTCACACATGAATCATGTGCTCGAGCAGTGCGTTTTTCCCGTTTGACTGCATGTCCAGCAGCAGATGTTGACATCTTTTAAGGCGGCTGGGGGATCGGCAAACAGCCCCAAGGCCGAGCTTGTCTTCATGCTTGTGCACGGTTTTGAGCTTTTGTGCTCGATCTGGTTTGCTACCAGACTTCCCTTTGATTGAGGGGATACGGGCAGATTGAGGTTTTCCGTGCATCCATCTCTTAGCAATACGGGTCCATGTGTTCCGATGCCGAAGACGAGTCCTCAGCATTCTCGAAAGTTGCCAGTAACTATATAGGGGCGGCTATGCCGGCGGTGCAGGCAGCTTAGAGTTGCGAGAGCTTTCTCACGGTTACGACCGCCACCCCCCTCCCCTTCCATCCTCACAACGTAAGGGGCTCCTGCGAGTTTTTTGAATATTCAACGAGAGCTTGAGACATCCCCCAATGTATGTGTTTCATGTTCGGGTTGGCGTGACTATCGCAGCATTTTTTTTTGAGCTTGTTGGGTATGTGGAAAATGTGGAAATGTGGAAATGCTGCAATTGGCGATGTTACAGTGGCGCCCCATGGAGGTATGCCCTCCCATAAGTGGTCGTGACGAGACGCTAGAGGCATCAGCGACGAAAGCCCTTTACTGCCCCTGGCTCCCTGTATATCTCTGTTCGCACCTCAAGTCATCATGTTTCGGCAAGATGACATTGGAAGATTTGTCAGCCAACATCCAACAGAAGTTAGGACTTGAGTCAACAACCTCGAAACACAGGATCAACAGTCAACAGCTTAAAAACATTGAAGAGCGAACGAACCGAAAGCAAGGCAAAGCATTGGAAGATGTTGGACTTGAATCTCGCATATCAAATAGAGTACTGTAGGGTTTCCACTCTATGTGCTAACATTGCATTTCCGCAGTGCCGCAGCAAATCACGCGACTAACAGTCACTTTGGTGTCAAGTGAGCAAAACAAGGAGCACGAGCTTGAGGAGTTGGTTCATGGCAAAAACTAGGAAGAATTGGGAACGCAGAGGTACTGGTATGACCCTTTAGGAACAAACGAGGCAGTGAGCAGTTTCAAGATGCACTATCACTGGAGTGTGGGCTCCAGCTAAACCAGGACAAGAACACCTTAGGCGGAAGTGCCGTGCCATATACCGCAAACTTAATATACGCCGGTGATTTGGGCACCGCCGCGAATTGCCCTAAGCGGACCGCAGTTTTCCAATCTTAACGCTAATATCTGCCATTCCTGTGACATCAGTTGGTCTTGGCACGCAAGGAGCCGCGCCGTCATTGCATTGTGCACACCAACTGCGGCGGCTGTACCTGGGTAGGGAGTGCCAGGACCATCCGGAAGCACGTTGGCGCAGCTACTGCATCATGTGCAGCGGCCCCTTCGAGCACGCCGTGAAGCGTGCAAAGCAGCAAGGGTTGTTAAAAGCGAGATGGCAACTGAGGAGGCGCAGCCAAAGGCCAGTGAAACAATGCACTTACGTAGCTTTTCAATTTTCCTAGTCCCGATGCAGTCAAAGCATACCGGGCATGGAAAACGCAGGACAGGGAGCCATCACGCCCGCTTTGGTTCCAATGGACTCTTGAAGTGTCGGACGAGCCTGCGACTCCATGAAACTGTGAGAGAGCTGGGCAAGCTCTTCACGGACACGAAGATCCTAGCCGCCCTTCGTTTTAAGGAAATGAAGCTGTCGAAGGCAAAAGCGAGGGGCAAGGGCGCCAGGTTTTGCACATTTGATCAGCACATCAAAGCCAATGAAAAAAAGGTTTTCTTGTTTGGCGTAGAAGATTTGGACAGTGCTCCGTCGCAATTGGGAACCAGTCATTGCGGGCATGAGCCGCATTCCGGACTGCCTTTGGAAACGTCCTCTTGGGGCAGAGCCAGAGTTCCTCGCGAGGGCGAAAGATATCCAGAAATCCATGACCGCGGAGAAGAGGGTGAAGTTAAGCTCCCACGTATGATGTCTTATTGCCGGGGTTTCCCGGTGTTCGGAATTGTTTACATTCACCGAGGAGTCTTTCAAATCCTCTTTCGCAACGGTGGGAGACTTGGGTTGGTCGTGCGTGATCAAGGTTATCAAAGTTATCAGCTGGACAATGCTCGAGCCACGTTGCTCAGCAAAAGGCGGCTACGGAAGCATCGGAATGTGACCGCAGTGAAAAGGGCTGTAGCAAGGACCAACAAGCCCAACAATAGGCCCCCCCTCCCCCCGCCCCCTACCCCCTGGTCTTTAGTTCGGTTGGAATTCGAGTCGGCTGGGGCAGCTCAGGTTCTTGTTGCAGTGAGGACCAGTACGCGAAACGCTGGAATCACGACATTCGCGACATAGACTGGCTGACGATTCACAAACGGCGCGACGGTCGAGTTTGGAAGCAGGACCCAAACGCAGCAGCCATAGTCAGAAAGAAGCTGCTGGAGACAGAACACACAAGAACCAAGCTGCGAAAGCAAACCTTTCCAATTCCCAGTACTTTCATTAGGACTGAGGTTTAGGGCTTCCAACGCCTGCCTCTTTCAGGGTCTGTGCCCAAACCATCCTCTTTTAGGGTTGAGGTCTTCCAAATCAGGGTCAAGGTCAACAGTTCATCTTTCAAGATCTTGCTTCTCTAGAGGTTGAGGGCTTTATTGAGCTTCTACCTCAGCTTATCCTTTTGGGTTTCCACGGGCTTTGATTGAAACCCCACCGGCAGAACCACGCTGTGCTGAATCTTCCAAAACGAGCCTTCCTCAGCTTGACCCAGAAAGGACAGACATCCTAAATCCGTGAAAAATCATCGCAAGCTTTCCGAAGTTCTCGATAAGCAAGGCTGTGTTGTGTCTGCCCGCATGTTCACGACTGTTTCTGTATATTACCACTCCGCTGGTGTGTTTTCTGACTCGGAGGATTCTGTTTCTGACCGGGCTCCATTTTTCCGGCCTTGGCTTTCTGGTTTTCTGAGACTGTCGTCGGCGTCGTCGTCGCCCATCGCATGAGCGCTCTGGCGTGTTCTGGCAGGTGAATGGACAAATTTCTTGCCCGAGTGCGATGCAAAATGGCACTCCAGCCGCGAGCCCTGCTGGAGTGTGCAGTGTGCTGGGCGTGCTCCTGCTTCAGTGCAGCGTGAAGACATCAAACACCCCTCACCCCTCATCGAACCCTTGAGACGACTTTTCCTTTTGTAAGGCGAAGGAGAGCCAATCTCAGGGTTTGTCCGATGCTTGTTCTACGCAGAGCAGTCAGCCTTGAGAGGGTGTACGGCCATGCAGTGAATCAGGTTGCACATCACCATCCACGACTGGGAGCCGGATCAGTCTGGACCCCTGGTTCTTGAAAGCTCTTGACATGTTCTGGGTACAAGTCGGGGATTGCTGCGACTTGATACAAATGACATGTGCAGGCCGGGGCAGCTTTACGTTGCAAAGGCGAATGTCTTGGAGTGTGGCAACTTAATAGGAGTTGCTCTGTCTTCTTGTGGCCGCATTGAAAAAGCCTTGTTCTGCTGAATCCTATCGAACCTTATCTCTGCGAAGAGTTGTGCGAACTTTTGACTCGCCGGCATCTCGACGTTTCTCTCCGTACACCAGTGTGTGTTCTGAGCATACCGCGAGAGAAAAACACACTGCGTTTTAGCAAACAACGTCGACTCTCAGGGCACCCTGGTGAACATCTCCTACCGAGCAGCACATGGCTGGGTTTACGCAGGTGTCTTTGCATCCGCTTAGATCAAGAAGTACCCTTCCAATCATTTCCATGTGCAGGAACTGTTCGAACAGCTGGGGACGAAACGCTTGAAAAAGGTCCAGATGAGGGCTGGATTCCGCAGGCCCTTGGTGCGATTGGCACCCTTGAACACGCCGAGCTGTGCTTCGGTGACCTGAACCTTTGCTTGGAGGCAGTCGTCAAGCGAGTGACCATGTGTCGAGTGGCTGTGGATTGGCCAGCGGAGGGCCAAGCCACGGACTTAGCAACAAGGACTAGTGAAGACTCCTGTCCTGCTGCCCTTCCCTGCCGACCTCTCATGACATCTCCTTTTCTGCGCAAAGGCAACCTTGGGTGTGACGAAGGGGGAAATTGTTGCCGTGTCGAAAGAGGCAGCTCGGTTTTGGTTTTCACCCAGAGCTTCCTCATTTTTGAGTCCAGATCCAGGCTGAAAGAGGATGGGTCTATGGCGAGCTTCAATCTGAGCCTTCTTGTCTGACGGTCTGTGACATGCTGCAGATTCCGCAAGCATCTCACTTTCAGCAGTCCATTTGGGCCACGATAGCATCGACAATTGCAGGTGCGTTGGTTCTTGTGTTTTCGTGTTGCAACGCTTGTATCCTGTAATTGGCCTTGTGGCGCATGTGGTGCTTACCAGGGCTGGATTCAGTAGAAAGCTCAAAGAACATCCGGCAAAGACAGCATCGAAGGGGGCAACAGCTCAAGCTCAGACCATGCAGGTTCCCAGCACACTCTCCTGCACTTGTCGCCTACAGACTGGGAGTCTCTTGTGTTTGTGTCGGTCGGGTGCATGTATGTCGGGAGGTGTCGAAACAGGGGCACTTTTTCTTTCATTCCTGTTCATGAAGTTTTTGATTGGGGCCTCGATCCGGCCCCAAGTGGAGTCTTCACAATTGCTCCTTAAGGATCTGAAACCATGCAGAATTGAATCCCCTCAATGCTGCCGCAGCTTAATGTCTTTACATGTCTTCACCAGCTTGCTGAACAGCTTGATGGAAAGGCTCATCGCAGCTGACACGTGCCAGCGGATCGCACGGCCTGACAACAAGCCTTCAGACGGCTGGCTGCCCAAGAAGGCACACGAGTTCGTTCTGAATTGCTGCTGTACCCCAAAATATAGATGATTTCAACAGCCAGGTCCTGGACTACGTCCAGACGTGACCTGCTCTTGCCAATGGCTCACATGGTGAGAGTCCCGCAAAGCCAGTTTCTCAACAATGGATGTCACAACAGCTCTCAGATAGGTACTTGTGACACCGTGATTCGACGGATGCTAACGCTGGGACACGTTGACTGTGTCCTTCCATGGTTCCCTTCCATGTCAGCCCGTGCTGCATCTGGTCGGATGTGCTCGGACTTGGAGGACTTGCCTGACTTTGCTGCAGTGACTGCCTGCGCTGTGCTGAGCTGCGCAAGGAACATACTTCAAACGCCGCTTAGGGGTAAAGGATGTGGTCATATGTCGTCACATCAAAACTCAGAAATGAAAGTTAATGCCACTTCCTTCAAACCCCTTTGGAGGCCGCAAACCAGCAGCTGGCAGGGTCCAGCCTTGTTCATATTGCAAACAAAATATTTTGCAAATAATTGTAATGTGCAGGTGCTCTGCGCATCACTTCAAAGCTCAAGCCGATGTGCTCGCATGTGCTTGCCCAATCACGGCAAATATTGGCAAATCGCTAAAGTTGATTTACTTGAGCATTGTGAAACGTTCGGACGTATTTGGACAGTAGGATGCCCCAGCGAAGCTGCTCTTGCATGGTCTTGCATGGTCTATTCCCACGTCCTCTGCAGCGTCTGGGCTCAGTCAAGGCACCATTCCAGTAGGTAGGTGGAGTATTCTTCCCATCGCTCTGCCATATGTTTGGAGCGTACTTGCAAGAGCAGGCTCGACGAGAGCTGCAACATAAATAGACAGAAGTAGACAAGCACCCCAGTATCCGCAGTGCAGTTGGCACAGCAATTGGCGCAGTGCTGCCCCACAGCCAAACTCAGCCAACGCGGCCAGGCTGGGCCGTAAGATGCTGTCAGAATATGAATTTGTGGCCCAAGACTGTTTGGGTCATCCTCCCCATGAACGAGAAGAAACTTCTTTGTAGCTCATCTGGACCAGCATCTGAACATGTCAGTCTAGTCTCAGAGTGTTCTTGTGACATGGACAATGATAACGACATACTAATGGGGATGTGCAGAAACCGGGGCTGGGAGAGCACGGTAGGAGGATGAGACAGCGAGGTCATGAAATTAATGAGCCCAGATTGAGCAGAGCACGGCGGTGTTAGGGCCTAAGTTACTTGATAGAGGTGTGTTTGTAGCCTCATCAGAAGCACTTGGACCTGGAGCCAGAGCCAAAATCAGAGCCGATCTGGAATTCCTCAGCTCCGATCAGCCAACAGATGCCAACAGCATCCCACACCAATCAGCACACCTTCCTCGTCAACTCGGCACCGCAAGTGCCACACAGTGCCACTCCACAGTGTTCTAGCATGCGAGAGACTCTAAGTTTCAAAGCCTGGGCCAAGTTCACATGTCCAAGCCAAATTTCCAAATTACCAGGATGGGCAAGAAAGCTGCGGTGGAAGAAGATGAGAGAAAACTTCGCATCGCCATCGTGAGCACGGATCGCTGCAAGCCCAAGAAGCACTCCCGGCCCGGGTTCTCTGCCTGCACATCCTTGGACTGCGTGTCCTGCCAGGTGCAAGCAGGAATGCAAAAAGTATTGCCCCGTCGTGCGAACGGGAAAGCTTTGTGTGGAGGTCGCTTCCTTAGGCTCGTAATCACGCCCTTCCTATCATGGCAGGCCACATTTGTTTGCAGGTCAGCAAGGATTCCAAAATCAGTTGGATCTCCGAATCGTTATGCATCGGTCGGGACCTGAAGAGCTTGTTGAGTTCCGGTTTTCATATATGATTGCGTGTTGCAAGTAGGGTCCTCTCCGTGTTGCAGGCTGTGGCATTTGCGTGAAGAAGTGCCCTTTCGAGGCTGTGTGTCTTTTTGTTTTTCAGGTCGTCGTTGCCCGAGCCCGCACGCGCGCGCGCGCGCGAGTGTGCGTGTGTGTGAGTAGGAAGACATTTATTACCTTCTTCTCTGCAAACTCATCATCCAGTTTTCCAGTTATGTGCCAATCAAGACTATGGCAACTTTTCGCTGATCGCGAGGCCATCAACATCATCAACCTGCCAAAGGCGAGGCATGGCCGGATCTGTCAGATTTGTTTTTTGTCGAAATCCTGCAAGGATCTATCCAGCCACACAACCCATCGATACGGCCGGCGGCTTAGTCACTTAGTCACAGTCATGTCGACGGAGCATGACGGTGAAGTAATGCCCACTTCTTCCTTGCCTCCTGATATTTGACATCCAGATACCGTACGTATTTGTCGGTTGGGCCGCCAGACCCCTCCTCTCCTCCTTGTCAATTCTTGTCAAGGTGTGGGGTCTGGTGCCTGTCTTGGTGGTGTGTGTATGTAAGCCCTCATTCTAGGCTAAGGGTCTGTGGCAGTTACAGTGTCTCGTTGCAATGTCATTTCCGGACTAAGCTGGGGGCCCGAGAACCTTTCGCTTGGATCGGGCCGACGAAGCGTGTGTCCGGTCAGGAAGATGTACCTGCTCGAGTTGCACTTGGATTCCGTTGGGATAGCTGGTGAACTCATCAAAGTTGGGAGCTGTTTTTCTCTATTCTTTTCCAAACAAGGTTTTGCAGGCGCAATTTCGCTGTGCATGAACTGTGTGCTTGACTTTCCATGTTGTTCGCATGCAGTTCATGCGAGAGCATTCTTAAGGGGTAGGGTTGGATTTCGGCGACTGCCTCTATACCCAGAACCCCACGACCGGGTCGTGTTATCTGACACTTCACTTTGTGTGGGTGGTGTGTGTGTGTGTGTGTGTGTGTGTGTGTGTGTGTGTGTGTGTGCGTGGGTGTGTGTGTGTGTGTGTGTGTGTGTGCGTGTGCGTGTGCGTGTGCGTGTGTGTGTGTGTGTGTGTGTGCGCATGGGGTGGTTGGGGAGGCGTCATCTTGTCCTCCTTTGGTGCGGGGGTGATTTCGGACACAGCGTCAGACCATTTAGGACTTTGTGTTTGTGCTGGACTCAGGGTTGAGGTAGGGTTGAGGTTGAGGAAGGGTTTAGGTAGGCTCACTAGGTTTGAAATAGGGCCCAGGATGCTCAGGTTAGTTTTCGAGTGGTTTTAAGTGTAGTTTAGGCGGGGCGGATTGGCTTCGGGGCTCTTTGCAACTGCATTGGTGGGCTTTTGCTTTGTCTCTGCAGTTGTTCATGAAATCAGCATGGGACTTTGGCTTATTTTCACTGTTTCCAAGTTGGTTCAAGAACGCTTGACCATACAAAAGGTCTTTGTGGGGCGGCTTCCTGGTGTTGTGGGGGGCGAATGGGTGTTTGGTGTAATCCTGTGCTGCAGGGAGGTTTACTTGCATGCGCGTAGGTTTCAACATAATGCATTCCTTCAACATGCTGCATTCTCTTTATGTGCAGAAAGGCCCGAATAGCTTCAAGCTCCATCGCTTGCCTACACCGCGTGCAGGAGTTGCCATGAGTTGCTTTGACCGGAGCTTCCTACATGCAGCATGTGCTTTTTGATGGTTGAAGGACAAGTGCTGGGCCTCGTGGGAACAAATGGCATTGGCAAGTCCACTGCTCTCACAGCCCGGTGCCTTAAACGGGAGCAGCACCAATGCAGCACTAATGGTCAGCGTTTGAGGTCCAGCCCCAGTTGCTGATCAAACATGCCATGCCTAGTTTGATGGACTGAAAGGTCATAAGTGTTTGGAATCCACTTGGGTGGGGTTCTGGTCAGGGACTACGTGCAATTGTCTAGGACAAGCCAAGATCTTGCGAAGCCTCTGTGCCATGGATGCCAGCTTGCTGCAGTGCCCGCTGTGGGTTTCGTTCGAAGATGATTCAGGCCCGCAAGAATGACTCGTTCGAAGTGAGAGTTTTGCTTCTGCTCTGCTTCGGTGACGTTTGCAGCAAAATCTCGCTGAGGCAACCCATACTTTTTCAATGTCCAGTCTGGAGAGTGCCGTCGAGCCGATCCCGATCCTGATGGAGAAGAGAGTGTTGCCGTGGGGAATGACGAAGGCATCCAGCTTCGTCTCCTGCTTTCTAGTTAAGTTCTATTTACCAGGAGTTCCCTGTTCCCCAGCATTTTCAGTGCAGAAGATCACGTATGAAGAAAAGTTTCTAGGGGCCGTGTCCATCCTTCTGCAGTCCATCCTTTGCCTGGCAGGTGATGTGAGGGCGTCCAAGGCGTCCGTTTGCAGCTGCTGCCGGCATCCTTTTGAAGCGGAGCCCATCAAGGAGGGCTTGGAGGAGGCCCAGAAGAGCAATTGGATGTCCACACCGGCCAGGGTGCAAGTCCCTTATAACCCGGAGCAGCCGCAGTATGTTGAAGGCAACGAGGACTTCAACGTGTGGTACGGAAAGTATCTGTCCGACCGCAGGAATCCACGGGACCGAGACAGGGTACAGGCAGGACACCGATGTGATCCCGAGAAGGACTCGGGGTGGACACAGGCCGATCACCCTGGCTCTGGCAGTCCTGGGTTTTGCTTATTTTATGCACGTGGCTGTTGTGGATTTGGACATAAATGCCGCTACTTCCATCACGTCCCCACGCTTCTCGACATGGCATCCTCTGATGAGGCTCATGACATATTTGGGAGGGAACGCTATTCGACTCATCGTGATGACATGGGCGGCGTTGGTAGCTTCAACACTGACTGTACCACTCTGTTTGTTGGCGACTTGATGTTCGACAGGGGTGCGCCAGATGCTGTTGAAAGTGTGCAAAGGGAATTGGAAAGCAGCTTCAGGCAGTGGGGAGACATAGAAGATGTACGAATTGTCCCTTCCAAAGCAATTGCCTTCGTGAGGTACACCTGGCGCTGCAACGCTGAGTTTGCTAAGGAAGCCATGGCTGGTCAAAAGCTGGGCCTGTCAAAATGCATCGTCGTGAACTGGGCTCGCGATGACCCACGACCGGATGCCAAGAAGCGCCGCAAGACAGAGACTGCCGAACAAGTTGAGATGGCCCTGGCGAATCGAGCTGCAGCTCTTGGCTGGACAAAGCCAGAGATCGAGGCCATCACTACAAGGGGGAAGCCTGAATTCATAGGTCCGGTCGGGCCGTACCCCGACACCAGTGCTCAGTTCAAGCAGAGAGCAGGCCATGCCTCTGCAATGGATGGAGTAGCGGGCACTGTCGACACTGTCCAGTGTCAGGCCGACCTGGCCCAGCAAGAAGCAGAATCAAACATGCGCAGGCTGGAGAGTGCGCTGCAGCGCATTCATCCCATTCAGCCTTAGTGTGGAGTACAGTGCGATAACATTGGCAATTCGTTAGATCTCTGGCCGTTTCGTTTCACAGCTCGGTATGTACGGAACCGATCTTTGCATCAAGCCGAAGAAGATAAAGAACTGCCTGCAAGATTGTTCCTGCTTGACTGGATTTTGTCTTTCTTCGGCGGGGTGTTGAGGTGCTCGCTGGAAAGTTAAAGCCGAACCTGGGCCGCTTTGACAATCCTCCAGATTGGCAGGTCTCAGCCTGAGCAGACGATCACACACGGAGACTAGTCACTACTAGGTACGGTCGTCTTTTGTTGCTTGGGGATGCTTACGTGGGGCCAGGAAATTATCCAGCACTTCAGAGGAAGCGAGCTGCAGACGTGCGCCAGCCCCGTCTTGCGTCTCATGCCCTCATTCGGAGAAGGTCGCTGTGGCACTTGCCAACCAGTCCTGTCTGCTGGCTTAGGATGATCGACGCCATGGACGGGTTAGCCATGCTACAAGTAAAAGTTATGCCCGTTTGAGCCCGTTTAAACACAACAACGGTCTCTGGCAAGCACAGGTGAGGGTCAGGTTTCAACATTTCCGGCAGGTGTAAGCGAACCTCTGGTCAGGGAAGTGCCAACTTCGACAGGGTTTTAATGAAAGTCTTCCGGTCTGACTTGCAGTGCTTCCAAGTTCTTTTCATGCGAGGTACATCAAGGGCCTTCTCGAAGATCGCCTTAAGGCGATGATCAAGCCTCAGTGCCCCGCGACGTTGTAAGCGTGATCATGCTCGCCTTTTCTACGTTTTTGATCTTGACGGTGGCTTGCACTGGAGCGGCTATCCGCATCAGGTATGTAGACAAGATTGCCAAGCAAATCGCGGGCACTGTGTCTGACATTCTGAGCAAGAAAGATGAGAAGAAATCTCAGGACAGTGCTTTCAATTTGGTGCGCCAGCAAACCGCCGTATCTTTTCTCGGGCGTATGGCGGTTGTTTCGTGTTGAGAGTGCCTACTTGCGGCTTAGCTTATAACGGCCAGTCGTGTGGCACGGGGTTAGCTGTTTCTGGCCTATAACCTTACACACTAGTAGCCGCTAGTTCCGAAACCTTCCCAAACTCATAACAGCTACTACCCCTTGACCTCCAGAGCTCAGAAACTCCTAGAACTTAAACCCTCGACCTAGAATAGTCGCCGCCCGCGTCTTGCGGTTCTATGCACGGCATCGCCTATCATGTCTTCAAGTTGAGTCTGGTTCGGAGGTTCCAGCGACAAACCTACAAACTGTGCAACGACCCTGACAAGGTACACACAGCCCAAGCCCAAGTCCTAAAAGGAAGATGCGAACAAGAGACTACCGCACTGCCACAGCGCAACTCCTAATTCCTGAAAAGGGGAAAAAAAGCATCGGCTTTTGAACATCAAACTCCCCTAAAACTTCAACAGCCTGAAATGAGAATACCCGGTATACACCGTCCCGAGCCTTCTGCGGAGAATGCTTCGGCCACCTTCGGCCTGGATCGAACCCCAGGATAAAGATACCCCAAATTAATCCAACTTCCTAAGGTCTCATCAGGAAGTCCAAAGCTGAAAGGAGAAGCCCCCAACATCCCCAACTTAATACCCGAGAAGGAAGGAAAGAGGCAACGCCTGAAAGGACAATGTCTCCCCGCCAGAGCCTACAAAGCACTGACATCCTGACAAGTCACGCTTTCCTTGAAGTTTGGCGAGCACATGCAAAGAGCAGTATGCGTACTGCCTGTGAATGAATTTGACGAGCATTCGATGCGGTTAAGCAGCGAATACCCAGCAGGCAGGCATGTCAAGATCACGTTCTCGTGGTCCCTGACTGACGGTTCCAGGTTGTTTTACATCTGGACGTATAGGCATGACGATCACTCAGCGCAGCCAGACCTCTTGCAACAAAGTCATCAGACCTTGTTCTGACGTCTGAAGGGTGTTGCAAGTCCTTGATAGTTCTTTGCAAGGTTTGGTTAGTTCGATGTCATGTGATCACTCTGATCACCCATGCCCTGCCTTAATCTAACTTGTCTGGGCTGCAGCTACTGCAGCATACTGCAGCGTACTGCAACATACTGCATCATACTGCAGCATACTGCAGCATACTGCAGCATTCACATCTCTAACTGTCATTCATCGTTGACGTTGATGCATCTGATGTAGGAACTTGTCGCAGCAAACAGAGTCTCAAAGCTACTGGCTCCTACTGGATGCTGTCGAGTTGTCCCGTGTGGACAAAGATTCACACTTGAGTCAAACCTGTGGTCTGTCGCGTCGGGGGTGTCTTGGTTCGGCTTTGTTTGGCACTTGGCACGTGCGTTCTCTGCCAGGAGAAGTTTTGTCAAGAGCTCGAGCTCATGCACTTGCAGGCGCAAACTGCTGTTGTTGTTGTTGTTGTTGTTGTTGTTGTTGTTGTTGTTGTTGTTGTTGTTGTTGTTGTTGTTGTTGTTGTTGTTGTTGTTGTTGTTGTTGTTGTTGTTGTTGTTGTTGTTGTTGTTGTTGTTGTTGTGCAGAAAATGTTGCGAATATGTTTCAATGACTGCATGGCTGACGTGACTCAAGCATGCAACCAGCTTTGCAATCCTTTAGATCCGGGAGGGGATGCCGGCAGGATCGCTCGTTCTTGCATCCACGTATCTATGCGTATGTCCTTACGTGTGCGCGTCATGACATCGTCGTCATCGTCGCCATGATCCTCGAAGCTGTCGTCATTTTTGCACCCTCGTACCTCAATAAGATAAGAAGTCGCGATCGTCACATCGCCGTTTTTGTCGGCATCGTCGTCGTCGTCGGCGGTAACTTTTGCTATTGGCATTCTCAAAGTTTTAACAGTCTCCTGTGAGTGGCGGGTCGTCGTCAAAACTCGGAAGAAATCCTCGCTTTGCTTTCTCGTGTGCAGCTGTATCAGTTTTAGCGGCGCATCGAAGTCGCCATCATGGAAACTGTTGTTCTTGTTTGTGGGTGGTTGGCATGGCCTGTAAACCTCGTACATCTGAACCCTTTCGTGCGGGGGGTTTCTCGCCCTGTGGATGTCCTAGACTCCCCTCGGGGGGAGAGGGAAATGTAGCCAGTGGTGGGTGCGTGGGTTCGAAGCACCCTTTCGGCACTGCGGCCTTCACGTCCCTTCTTTTTGTAACAAACAATTTGCTCACTGCAAAGTTGGGTAGCACAACGCACAGCTTTTTCTAATGCAACACTTGAAGGCCTGCTAATTTTGAAAGTTGTTTCCCCACGTCATCCCACTAGAGAATCCGAGTCTACAAAATCCCATCTTCAAACATCAGTCGCTCAATTAGGTTCTAACGGAACTTTCTTCACCTAACGGGGACGCTTTATCGTTAGGGGTCGTTACTGTACTCGTAGTTGTTTTGTGTTGCAAAGTTTGGCTGCCGGCATCTACAGTCAGAGTGCGCACATGTTTGACTGCGACGAGTACCTCCTAAGCCTACTATGTAGTCCTGTATTCTGCAGCAAGCAGGAACGCGAGATCAAGGACTTGTCTGGTGGAGAGCTTCAGCGATTTGCAATCGCAGGCAGTATGCACAAGCTTCGCACCTCACTGACTTGTCGCTTCCGCCCAAGAAACAGAGAACCGTCCTGGCAGTTCTATGCGTGCAAGATGCGCAAGTGTACATGTTCGACGAGCATGCTCCTCAGTTGTTGCTAGCGGAACCACTTGCATGCGCGCTTGTCACTGTCTTTTCAGGTTTAAAGTAGCTCTGAATGTATAACGTTGTTGCAGGCAAGTTGTTGCGGACAACACTCCGAATATGCCCAAGGCCATCTTCATACCTGGACGTCAGGCAACGTATCGCTGCTGCTCAGGCTGCTCAGAATATTCCATGCAATGCACACATTATGACTTGTGGGATTTGGGTTGCTGTAGACTCTGAGTCGAACAGCATTCCCCCCCCCCCCCCCCACCCACACACACACACACACACACAAACGTTAGAAACACCCCCCGAATTGCCCTCAATGCACACAGGAAGGAAGGAAGGAAGGCAGGAAGGTGGATGCATCTCCAGGAGCATGGGAGCAGCATGGGGCATTTCTACCGTTCCAGGTTGTCGGGCTCATTCGGGCATGAGCTTGCCTTGTTGAGGTTGCTCTTGTTCGGAGGTCATCCGAAGCCTGCAGACGACGGACAACTACATCATTGTTGTCGAGTCCTACTCTTGGAGTTCAAGGGCTCCTCTTTCGATTGTGGGTATGCTTCGGTGACTGTCAGGCACGATCTGGCTGTTTTGGACTACCTTTCCGACTTCATCTGCTGTTTGCAACCCTTGCTTGCTTGTGCGCTGTTGTGTACTGTTGCTTGGCTTGGTGAGCGCGAGCTTGCGAGCTTGCAAATTGTTCAGGTGGGGATCTGCTGGCGCCTATGGAGTCGTTACGATGCCCTTCAGTGTCCGCGAAGGCTCCTAGAAATAGCTGTGGTGTAATACTGTAAGGACTGTAAGTTAAGCACCTCTAACTGCTCAGGCATCAACGTTTTTCTCGATGGCTTCATCCCCACGGACACGCAAACAGCGCTTCATAGAATCGTGCACATGTCTGCATGGCTCGAGTGCACGTGGGTGCCGGTCTGTGGTTGGAGTTTTCGTTTTCTGTCCCTTCCAGGAGAATCTAAGATTTCGAGAGGCCAGGGCACATGGTTTCGCACGTCTGATGCATATGAGGCATATGATGCATCGGTCAAGTGAAGGTCTCCTTGACCTTCAAAGTCAGCGAAGACCTGGACCCCTCGAAACTGGATCGCATGCACAACACGGAGTGCCTTGCATTCGTTGACTTCAGTGAGCTTCAGTTGCTGGCATCTTTGGAACATGATGAACATGTCCTGGGAGGTATCCAGACATGTCCAAGCTGATGGGCGACTTCAGACTAGACATCAAGGCACGCGGTGTGCGCAAATCATTGGCGCTAAGTCTTCGGGCTGTTGTGTGGGGCTTGCTGGGGTCTGGTCAAATCCTTCGGCATCCTTCGGCCATGGGGCGCATCCTTCGGCGATGGGGCAGAGTATCGACATGTACTGAATGTTCTTGCACGATGCAGCCAGTATGCCATAGCGCGCAGTTCGTGGCCTATGGAGAAAGACGAGTGTGGTGTCCGCAAGCAGTTGTCAGGGACAGCTCCAGACAGACAACAAAAGCACCTCGATAGTTGTGGCAACAAGGAAGTACTACGAAACAAAATTATGCAATTTGGAGGCGGTGGATAATGGAAGTGTGAACGACCCCAATGTTTAGTGCGCACTCGCGTGAGGAATGGGCATTGGGTCCTCCGACTTGTGTTTGTCATGGTCCGACCCAAAGCCCGACTTTCAGCGTCGGATGTAGGCCAATGGAACTCCATGCACGTAGCGCGCCCCATGGGTTTTTACAGGTCAGATAGCGCGCTTGAACACATGGATGTTGTAACTTATGTGTCCTACAGGGCTTCATGCTTGTGGTGTTGACTTGGAGCGTTAACATCTCTTGACGTTTATGTTCTCGGGCCATGCCTGGATCCATGTGCACAGCATCTCTCGAAAGACTTTTGAAAGCCGTTGGAGATCGCACTGCGGGGATTCGCGTAACCCCAGCCTTTCGCAGCCCGATGTAGGGTTCAGGGCTTAAGGGCTTTAGGGCTTTAGGGTAATGGTTTAGTTTGGGTTTAGGGATTCAGAGCCGTTGGGGGCTTGGTGATTTCGGGTTTAGGGTTTGAATCCCTTCCCCTAGTATCAAAGGCACCACCCCCCCTCCCTTGTATAATAGGGGGGGTTCTTATCGTCTGTCCGAAAAACCAGCAGTGTTTAGGGTTTGGTATCCGTAAACCCTAAACCCTGAACCCTGAACCTTAGGCCCTAAAGGTTCAATTTTGGGAAAGGTTCAAGTTTCTGCGTCAGGCTTCCGACCCCCACCCCCTACCCCCCCCTCTCTGTAGAGGTTTTCAAAAGGACAGGCACGGGATCGGGATTTTGGGCCCGGTTTTTTTTGTTCCCCACCCTCGCCCGGAACTCTTCTCCTCGCCCGGAACCGCCCGGTCTACTCCTCGCTCATCCCTGGAGTGCCAAACCCCAAAGTGTCCCTGGAGTGCTCAACTCTAGAGTGTCCTTGGAGTGCCCTGGAGTGCCCAACCTACAGTGCCCAACCCCAGAGTGTCCCCGGAGTGCCCGGTGTCCCTGGCCCAACCCAGAGTATCTCTACCAAGAGAGGGTGGGGATGTTCGAAGTAAAATAGCCTTTATTATTAGGGGTGTATTTATTATAGGGGGAAGGTGTACTTATTTTAGGGGGAAGGGATTAGTGTTTTTTGGGTTTTGGGGTTTGGGGGTTTGTCATCCGCGCACTCGTGGGAGTCACTCCCCCGTGCACATGCGTCGCTTGTCAAGCCCACTCACGCAGCTCTTCTTCTTCGGGCCGCTGAGAACTTCCTTTTTCTGGGGTCGTTCGGGTCTTCATGTTTCTTGTAGCCACGACGGTATTTCTGCTAGTGGCGCGTACTACGGTGCAAAGGGCTTAGGGTTTTTAAGTTTTGGTTTTGTTCAGGTTTAGGGCTTAGGGTTTTTTAGGGTTGCGTTTTTTTGGGTTTAGGGCTCAGGGGTTCTTAGAGTGTAGGGCTTAGGGCTTTTAGGGTTTAGAGGTTTTTAGGGTTTAGGGTTTAGGGTTTATGAGGGTTTAGCGTTTTAGGGTTTAGGGCCAGGTTTTTGGGGTTTAGGGCTCAGGGGTTTTGAGGGGTTTCGAGCTTAGGGCTTTTAGAGTTTAGGGGTTTTAAGGAATTAGGGTTTCGGGTTTTTCAGGGTTTAGGGGTTTAGGGTTTAGGGCCAGGTTTTTAGGGTTTAGGGTTTTGTGGGTTTTGTGGGTTTAGGGTTTAGGGTTTTTAGGGTTTAGGGAAGAGCAAGGGTTGAGGGCTTAGTAGGGGGGTGGTTTGCCCGCGCTATTTCTGGCAAGGTATGCGAAGCATGTGCAGGCGCAGTGTTTCCTGTGTCGCGATGTCCGCCAACACCGCCTTTTTCTGCTTAAACGACCACCCTCAGCGGTTTTGCGTTGTGTTCCGAAATCGTCATATTTGGTGAGCCCGTTCCCCCTAAACCCTAAACCCTAAACCCTAAACCCTAAACCCTAAACCCTAAACCCTAAACCCTAAACCCTAAACCCTAAACCCTAAACCCTAAACCCTAAACCCTAAACCCTAAACCCTAAACCCTAAACCCTAAACCCTAAACCCACCCCTCTTTTTTTGTGGGTTTCTTAGCGCCAGCGAGACCATGGCAGGCTCTGCTGAGCTGCAGAGTCCCAGGGGCCTGGCCCGAAAATTGGACAAAAACAAATGGCCCAGGCTGAACCCGAAAAAGGGCCCGTGGTCCAGCAAAGAAGGCCGCAAGTCGGGAGGCCTCCAGGGGGGCTAGGGGGCCCCAGGCCAGGGTTGGGGCGGCCATCCCAAACCAAAGTGTCGGGTTGAGGTTTTTTTTTTTAACAGTCACTGAGCTGGGAGGCCCCTGAGAAGCCCCTTAAAAGTCTGAAAAGGTTTGGAAAAGTGAGATGCCTGGAGGTTCGGGGAGGTGGGAGGCCCCTAGGGCCCGTGGAGAGGCCCAAGTGGGAAGCCCCTGCCACAGCTGAAGGCTTCATTGATGTCCTTGACAAGGCAGGTCTGACGCCATGTAGCCTGAAAAAACAATGAGAAAGCCCTCCGGCCGAAGACACCCCCCAATGCAAACGCTGATTTGGCTCTTGCAAGGTTCTAGATCTTTCTAGCAAAGGGTTTGTCGCCATGCAGCCCCTACGCTTGGGCATAAAGAAGAAAAACAATGAGAAGGCCCTCCGGCCGAAGACACCCCCCCAACGCAAACGCTGATTTGGCTCTGGTGAGCTTCTAGACATGACTTTCACAAAGCCTGTTTATAGTAACACCCTGAAATCCCGACGTCGAGAATAGAAACAATGAGAAGGCCTCCGGCCGAAGACACCCCCCAACGCAAACGCTGATTTGGCTCTGGTGAGCTTCTAGACATGACTTTCACAAAGCCTGTTTATAGTAACACCATGACATCCCGACGTCGAGAATAGAAACAATGAGAAGGCCCTCCGGCCGAAGACACCCCCCAACGCAAACGCTGATTTGGCTCTGGTGAGCTTCTAGACATGACTTTCACAAAGCCTGTTTATAGTAACACCATGACATCCCGACGTCGAGAATAGAAACGATGAGAAGGCCCTCCCCCCCCCAACGTTAATTTGGCTCTCGCAAGCTTCTAGACATGACTTTCACAAGCCGTGTTTATAGCAACAAGCCTGAATGCAGAAGCTTAGATGTTAGAATCGCAGCGTTTTGAAATCGCCGCGTTTGGGGAAAGACCGAATCGCGCGATTTGAATGGGTATGTATAAGGGTTGAGAAAGAGGCTTCAAGGAGAACTTGAAGGGGGAAGCTAAATGATTTTTCTGGGTTTATTAAAGATCTTTCGAGCAGCTCCGTTGCTTAAACCTCTCGTAATTTCCCTACCCTCGACTCCGGTTTAAGGTTGAGGGTTGAGGGTTTAGGGTTTAGAGTTTAGGATTGAGGGTTGAGGGTCGAGGGTGGAGGGTTGAGGGTTGAGGGTTATTTGGTGCTCGACCCCCCCCCCACCCTTCAGAAGAACCAGGTTCTAAACACTTATCCTAAGTCTTAAACCCATAAACCTTGAAGGGAAAACATCAGAAATGATTTTTGCCAGGGCCTGCAAAAATCATTTCGTGCTCACCCCCCACCCCACCCCCACATCAGAAGGACCAGATTCGGTACAAACCAAAAAAACACACAGTGCTCTCGGAAGTAAGTCGTTGAACATGGTACTTTTCTGGATAGATTCCTCAACCTGGCTGTTCATACATGGAAAAGCCTAGCTTAGAGCCTAGAGCCTAGATTCTCAAGGCTAAACTCTCAATCCTAGCCCCTAAACCCAAAACCGTGCAAAAAAAAAAACACCCAGCTCGAACATAAATGGTACTGCCACAACGAAGACACAAGTGCCATGGATGGAGCCCTGTAAAACCTAAAGCCGACACTCCTACATGGTCGTGAAACTCAAAAGAAACAAAATCCTGCATCTCAACGGGCTCAGCTTCGGCTTCGGCAGGCCTGAAGACTGTCACACGTCGCGGAAGACAGAAACCTGGAATCTGAATTGTGCTTGGATCGCTTCAAATCGCCAACAAATCGCTGCAAATCGTAGGGCAACTTGGAAGTCAAAGGACCATGCCCACAAGTTTGCTAAGAAACCCTGATCTTAAGGCCTGTTAGCCCTAAACTCCAAAAACCTTGAAGGGAAAACATCAGAAATGATTTTTGCCAGGGCCTGCAAAAATCATTTCGTGCTCACGCCCCCCCCCCCCCAACCCCACCCCCACATCAGAAGGACCAGATTCGGTACAAACCCAAAAAGCACACAGTGCTCTCGGAAATAAGTCGTTGAACATGGTACTTTTCTAGATAAAATCCTCAACCTGATTGTTTCATATATTGAAAAGCCTAGTTTGGGTTGTGCGAGAGGGTGTTTAGCTTCCCTAAACTCTAAACTCTTACTCAAATATACATGAAAGAAAATCTGTACTTCGCTACGTGCGAGTTTCGAGACCAATGAGGGCCTTCGAATGGCTCCGTAAACTGAATTTCCAAACAACTGAAGGCTTTCCAGCACCTCTCTGAATCTAAGTTTCCGGTTATTCAAGGCTTCCTAAAAGCGCCTCTGAACTTGAACTTCTGAAATCGTGAAAAAGTCCTTGGGCCCAAGCTGGCTAAATGATCTTTCCCAAACCCGCAAAAATCATTGAACCCACTTCTCACGAGTGCTTCTTGAAAGCAGCACAAGCTGCGATTTGGCATTGGAAACCCGAATCGCGCGATTTGCGTTTCCAACGGTTGAATACGACCAAATAAGAAGCGATTTGGGCCTGCGTGTTTAAATCGCAGCGATTTGATTCCGCGATTTCATCTTCTAAG